AATTCTCCGTGAAGTCCAAATTTGAAATTAATAATAATAATAATAATAATAATAAGTCTGAAGACTTGGCAACTTCACGCCTGCACCTGACTCTTGCGCTATGATACGCGTCGCCTATGACACCCCTCGGAATTTCCCACCTTGCTCCCCCTTATGTTCTGGCTGCCCGTTTTGGATCCATCAGTTGCCTGATGATCGTAGAAACACGTGAAACTCGGAGTTGTGACAAAGCTTCCAAACTCTCTCTTGTGTACAAGGCTCTGCCCTACATGGGCATTGAGCACTCTTCGGACAGTGAAGCACACCACTTGACTACGCCAAGGGCTCCCTATTGGTAGAGCACTCTCGCTTTACTGTTCGTGTCGGAGGATGGAGGCGCCAAAACGGGTGGACTTGAACTACTCGATGAAGAACATCCCCCTTCCGTCGCCAGCCCAGTACACAACCAGGCTTATCGAAATGGTGGAAAGCCTCATCAAGCGGATGCGTTGGCGGGAGATATTCTTTATGAAAGGGCAAGGCGACGAGGCTGAACAGCAACAGCAGGACAACTTCGGGTTCAAGTCCCGGAAATGTCCACCGCAGGTCGAGGAACTTGAGCCTTTCGAGAATGATCTGCTGAGGATGGTGGAGAGTGTAGAGCTTAAAAGGACAACGGACAGTTTCCAGCGGCGGCTCGAGGATGACATCGCTCACATCCGGGAGCCAAGCGACATCTTCGTGGCGGCGGACAAGACAAGGAACATGTATGCCGTCAACAAGGAGCGCTACGAGAAAATGATGCATGACAATGTAACCAAGAACTACAAGCAAGCACCGGAAGAGACATACGACGACATAAATGTGGAGGCTAGGAATATAGCCAATGCGCGTGGATTGGACGAGAAAATGGATTGTATGGCAAAAAAGGACGCGTACGTGACTCTAAAAGACCACAAAGACAACTTTAACGACAACCTCCCATGCCGCCTCATCAATCCGGCGAAGAGCGAAGTCGGAAATGTATCAAAGGCGATCCTGGAAAGGATAGTCCAGGATATCCGGCGCCAACTGCCAACAAATGCCTGGAAGAACACATCCGCCGTGATCGACTGGTTCGTGGGGCTGGAGGAAAATCAAAACTGCGTTTTTGTATGTTTTGATGTCGTGGAGTTCTACCCGTCTATCTCGGAGGAACTATTATTAACGTCGTTGGAGTTTGCCAGAGGCTTCACGTCGGTGTCTTCGGAGGACCAGGAAGCAATCCTCCATGCACGGAAATCCCTGCTATTCGGCCTCGGGAAAGAGTGGATGAAGAAGGGAAGCGGGGTATTCGATGTGACGATGGGATGCTATGACAGAGCTGAAGTCTGTGAGTTGGTCGGCACGCTGACCCTAGCCAAACTATCCGAGGTGTACAACGGCAGTGACATTGGACTCTACCGCGACGATGGGCTGGCAGTGTTCCGGAACGTATCGGGACCGGAAGTGGACAGGATCAGAAAGGACATGACCAAAGTTTTCAACAGCCTAGGACTAAAAATTACAATCCAGGCAAACCTGAAATCAGTCGACTACCTAGACATCACGCTGGACCTACGCACTGGCAAACACCGTCCATATCGGAAGCCCAACGACCGGCCACTGTATGTCCATCACAAATCCAACCACCCACCGATCATCATCCAGAACTTGCCCTCTTCCATCAGCCGACGACTAACGGACATATCAACGGATCAAGAGACATTCCAGGACGCATCTCAAATGTACAACAATGGGCTCAGCGACAGCGGGTACAATGAGACCGTCCAGTTCTTGGAGGAACGGAAGAGTGGGAAAAGGAAGAGACAAAGGAAGAGACACCGGAACATCACATGGTTTAACCCACCGTTCAGTAAGAATGTGTCCACGAACATTGGTCAGCGATTCCTGCAACTCGTCAGCAAGCACTTCCACAAAGGTTGCAAATTATACAAGATATTTAACCGGAACACGCTAAAGTTCAGTTACAGTTGCATGCCAAATGTCGCCACCATCATCAAGCAACACAACAATAGTATCCTCCGCAGCGACCACCAGAATAAGACCAAGGATGTGAGAACCTGCAACTGCCGTGTCAAAAATGATTGCCCCTTGGAAGGAAACTGTCTAACATCGAGCATTGTGTACAGAGCACATGTAACCGGCAGCGACATGAAGGAGTACACTGGATTAACGGAAGGGACATTCAAGACACGATTCAATGGTCATCAACATACTATTCGCCACAAGAAGCACGAGACCTCAACGAGACTGTCCAGACACATCTGGAGACTGAAGGATGAAAACAAACCTTACAGTATCAGGTGGTCCGTTGTGAGGAGAGCCGCACCATACTCTAACATCTCGAAGCGCTGCAACCTGTGTCTGGCCGAGAAGCTGGAGATTGCCTGGGCCGACAAGACCCGCTCCCTCAACAAGAGGTCAGAGCTTGTGTCCAAGTGTCGTCATGAAAACAAGTTCTACCTCTGTAACTTTGCGC